ATGGATCACTGCAGCCTCAAACTCCCAGGCTCAAGCTATTCTCCCAGGCCCCAAGTAGGGGACTACAGACATGTGCCACCACACCAGCTAATTTTTGTTTTTTTGTTGTGTGTGTTTTGTAGAGGTAGGGTTTCACCACATTTCCCAGGCTGGTCTTCACACTCCTGAACTCCTGGGCTCAAGCAGTCCTCCTGCCTCTGCCTCCCAAAATACTGGGATTACAAGCGTGAGCCACTGCACCTGGCCTCTTATTTTCAATGTAGATGAAACAGCCCTCTGTTGGAAGAAGGTGCCATCTAGGATTTTCATAGCTAGAAGAAGTGAATGCTTGGTTTCAGAGCTTCATGGGATAGGCTTCCTCTCTTGTTGGGGGCTAATACAGCTGGTGACTTGATGTTGGCACTAATGTTTGTTACCATTCTGAAAATCCTAGAGTCCTTAAGAATTATGCTAAATCTATTCAGTCTGTGCTCTGCAAATGGAATAACAAAGTCCGGATGACAGCACATCTGTTTACAGCATGGCTTACTGAATATTTTAAGCCCATTGTTGAGATCTATCTCAGAAAAAAGATTTATTTCAAAACATTACTGCTCACTGACAATGCACCCAGTCACCCAAGAGCTCTAATTGAGATGTACAAGGAGATTAATGTTATTTTCATGTCTACTAACATAGCACTCATTCTGCAACCCTTGGATAAAGGAATAGTTTGAACTTTCACATCTTGATTATTTAAGAAATACATAAGGCTGTGACTGCCATAGATGGATCTGGGCAAAGTACACTGAAAACCTTCTGGAAAGAATTCACCATTCTAAATGCCATTCATGGAAGGAGTTCAAAATATCCACACTGGCTGGGTGTGGTGGCTCATGCCTGTAATCCCAGCACATTGGGAGGCCAAGGCGGGTGGATCACTTGAGGTCAGGAGTTCAAGACTAGTCTAGCCAACATGGTAAAACCCTGTCTTCACTAAAAATACAAAAAGTATCTGGACATGGTGGCGCATGCCTGTAATCCCAGCTACTGGGGAGGCTAAGGCAGGAGAATTGTTTGAACCCAGGAGGTGAAGGTTGCAGTGAGCCAAGATTGTACCACTGCACTCCAGCCTGGGTGACAGAGCAAGAATCAGTCTCAAAAAAAAAAAAATACCCTATAAACTTAGTTGATAAAGCATCAGTGGGGTTTCAAAGAATACATCCCATTTTGAAAGAGGTAATACTGTGAATAAAATGCTATCAAACAGCATTTGCATTCCTTTCATAAAAGGAAGGGTTGACCCATGTAGCAAGCTACTTTGTCTTATTTTAAGAAATTGCCATAGTCACCTCACCCTTCAGAAAGCACCACTCTGATCAGTCAGTGGCCATCAACATCAAGGCAAGACTCTCCATCAACAAAAAGATATTATTCACCGACAGCTCTGTTGATTTTTAGCAGTATTTTTCATTAAGGTGTGTACTTTTTTTTTTAGATATAATGCTGTTGCACACTTATTAGAGTACAGCATAGTGTAAACAGAACTTTTTTTTTTTTTTTGAGATGGAGTCTCATTCTGTCACCCAGGCTGGAGCGCAGTGGCACGATCTCGGCTCACTGTAAGCTCTGCCTTCCGGGTTCACACCATTCTCCTGCCTTAGCCTCCTGAGCAGCTGGGACTACAGGCGCCTGCCACCACGCCCGGCTAATTTTTTTGTATTTTTAGTGTAGACGGGGTTTCACCATGTTACCAGGATGGTCTTGATCTCCTGACCTCGTGATCCACCTGCTTCAGCCTCCCAGAGTGCTGGGATTACAGGTGTGAGCCACCACCCCTGGCTGTAAACAGAACTTTTATATACATTAGGAAACCTGAAAGTTCATGTGACTTGCTGTATTGCAAATATTTATTGTGATATTTGCTTTATTGCTGTGGTCTGGAACCACCCCTGCAGTATCTCCAAGGTATGCCTGTATTGGAAAAAACATGGTATAGTCAGCCCTCCGAATCCTGAGTTCTGCTTCTGTGAATTCAATCAACCACACATCGAAAATATTTGGAAAAAAATTGTACCTGTACTGAACAAATAGACATTTTTTCTTGTCATTATCCCCTAAAAGGGGATAACAATTATTTACATAGTATACATTGTATTAGGTATTATCAATAATCTAGAGATGTCTTAAAACATGTGGGAGGATGTGTATAGGTTATATGCAAATACTATGCCATATTGTATCTGGGACTTGAGCGTCTGCAGATTTTGGTATCCATAGCAGGTCCTGAAATCAATCCCCCAAGGATACCGAAGGATGACTGTATATATAGGGTTCAGTACTATCCTTGATTTCAGTTATCCATTGGGGGTCTTAGAATGTATCCTCTGCAGATAAGAGGGGACTACTATATAGTCTTTGAGAAAGAAGTGTGTGTTACTATTTTGAAGCCACATCTATATACTTTAAAGCTGATCCATATGATATTGCCACATTTTAAAGTTTATCCATATATTGTTGTATTTCTTAGTGTATACTTTAGACTTTGTATGAAACAAGCCACTGGAATGTAAGCTTCATGATGTCGGGAACATTGTCAGTCTTGTTTATCACTCTATCCCCAGAACTTGAGAGTACTCAGTATTTATTAAATGAATCAATTAACAATTTTTTGAAGTGCGTAGTTCATTTTAGAAAAATTTACATTGAAGTGTTTAAAATATACTCACAACCTTTCCTTGCATTATTGAAACAAATGAGGTATTCTATAGTCTAAATGTGTATTCCTATGTTTACTATTCTTTTTGGGTAAATTTTTTGGTAGTGTAATTTGTTGTACCTAATTGGAGTGTATTTTATCTTTCTTTTAAGACACATGCCTGGACATACAAGTCGAGAAGTACTAATCATCTTTAGCAGCCTTACAACTTGTGATCCATCTAATATTTATGATCTAATCAAGGTAGACCAAAAAATCAAAACCAAAATTACAACTCTAAAGAGAATTCTGTAGCAAATTTGTTTTTTTATATATATATATTTGTGTGTGTAATTCATCTTTGTGGTAGATGTAGTGAATTTATTACTAGTTTTCAGAGCATTCTTTATATTTCAAATACATTAATTTTAAATGTTTTTCTTCTTTCCTAAAACTATCTATCTACTTGGATTTTATGAAGACCCTAAAGGCAGCTAAAATTAGAGTATCTGTTATTGGATTGTCTGCAGAGGTTCGCGTTTGCACTGTACTTGCTCGTCACGCCATTGCACTTCAGCCTAGGCAATAGAGTGAGACTCTATTCAAAAAAAAAAAAAAGAAAGAAAGAAAAAGTGATCAAAAACCAATAATTTCCCCTCCTTTGAGCAATTTGGTGTACTTCCCTGCAAGCTTTGTCTTTGCACAGTTTGTATTACAACAGCTTTGATCATACAGTACAGAGAATTTTGTAGCTTATTTTATTTTTATTTTTTTTTTAAGACAGTCCTCGCTCTGCCACCCAGACTGGAGTGCAGTGGCGCAATCTCAGCTCATGGCAACCTCTGCCTCCTGAGTTCAAGCGATTCTGCTGCCTCAACCTCCTGAGTAGCTGGGATTACAGACGTCTGCCACCATACCCAGCCATTTTTTGTAATTTTTAGTAGAGACAGGGTTTCGCCATATTGGCTAGGTGGTCTCAAACTCCTGACCTCAGGTGATCTGCTAGCCTCGGCTCCCAAAGTGCTGGGATTACAGGCATGAGCCACCACGCCTGGTCTTTGTAGCTTATTTAAAATATTTCTTAATATAAGTATTTTTCTTTTTTGTTCTTTTCTTTTTTTTTTTTTTTTTGAGACGGAGTCTTGCTCTGTCACCCAGGCTAGAGTGGCAGTGGCGCGATCTCGGCTCATTGCCAGCTCTGCCTCCTGGGTTCACACCATTCTCGTGCCTCAGCCTCCGAGTACAGCTGGGACTACAGCACCCGCCACCACACCCGGCTAATTTTTTTGTATTTTTAGTATAGATGGGGTTTCACTGTGTTAGCCAGGATGGTCTTGATCTTCTGACCTCATGATTCGCCCACCTTGGCCTCCCAAAGTGCTGGGATTACATGTGTGAGCCACCACGTCCAGCTTAATATAAGTATTTTTCTATAAACACAGTTTATACCTTTCTACCTTAAAAATAAAGAAAGCCAACAGTATTTCTGGGTGACAGACTAACTGTGTTTTGATTTTTCTTTTTTTTTTTTTTTACTTCTCTGTACTTTCCAAAATGTCTTCAACAAGCGTATTTTTTCTTAAAACTTCTTAAATATTAAAATATACTTGTGCAAATAAATAGAGAGCCTAGATACATATTTTTAATAACATAAAACACTTACCCATACGAATAAGGGAGCATTCAGAACTTGAGCTAGCAGGAGGAGGACTAACATGATGTGTGAGCAACTCTTTGTAATGGCTTTCATCTAAAATAACGATGGTATGTGCCTAACAAGATGAAAAGAGAAAAAAAAAACAGCTTCATAGACATAACGAAGTATACGTTCTATGTAATTCTGTAAAAGTTTTATCATCACTGAAAATGTACATTTCAAAATAATGATTTCAGCTAAATTACACTTTTAAAACCTTATTTAAATAATACATCTAAACCAACTTCTCTAGGAATAACTGTAATTACAATTGATTATTATTACTATTATTATTATTTTAACATATAAATAAGACAGGTCTCACTATGTTAATCAGCTGATCTCAACTTTTGGCTTCAAGTGATTCTCCTGCCTTGGCCTACCAAAATGTTGGGCTTACAGGCAGAGCCATCATGCCTGGCCTGTAATTAGAATTTAATTAAAGACAAGTTATAAAATCTTTATAAAGAATTACATACAGTAAATTTCCAGCTTTCCAAGAGTTATACTACTTCCTCTAAATATTGACATAAGTACTGAAAACTCTTTGCATTTTGAGATGATTTCTTACAGAATCAATGATATATTTAAGACGACTGCCCATATTTTAGGACTACTTTTAGTAGCTCAGAACAGATTAAAACATCCTAATTTAATTAATAAATTATTTCCTACACAGTAATTATGAGCAAATATTAAAAGAAATTATATATTACCACCAGTTTCACGAGCAAGTACAGTGCAAACGCGAA